TCATGAGAACAAGATGACATGAAAGTTCACAGTCCCGATGCCAATACTAGGCGGAGGAAACTAGAGCGGTTTTAAAGTCGGAGTTTCCAGTCTTAATGTATGTGACTGAGTAAATCGAGGAACCCTCTACGTGGACCAGGAAAAAGCATGTCTTTTTATTTGAAGTAGGTGTAAAGAGAGGAAAGGAAACCATTGGTACGGACGTGCAAAACTGGCATTAAGCATATATGTCTGAAGAGTATGAGTAAGTAGCAACCAGGAGCAGTTAATATTTGCAATATTCGTCAAGTTCTGCTCTGAACATACTTAAGGGTTCCAGTGAGCCTTATATACATCTGATTCAGCAGACGGTTTCATCGTTTTGTTGGAATGGGTAACAACAGACGATGCATTGTTGCTTTTAGTCCAAGTGTTTCACTCCAAACTCGTTCAGTGGCTCAACCACATGGTGCCAAACGTCAGCACTGGGGGCGCTAGGTTCTTTCCAGTGACTTACTGCCTGCCATAACACGGTTAAGCTTTCGGTTGTGAGGTAACTATGGCAACTGAGCGCTGACCAAGTCGAAAGCCATATCAATCTACCGACCGTTTACAAGACGTATGGCATGGTTTTGAGCAATCTTGATCTAAACGGCCTTGATGACGTCAGAAACAGTACCTCTCCAAAGCTCGAACCATTCACACTTCTATTGACGGAGTATCAGTGGTCCAAGAACAATTCCCATGACTTGTCAAACTTTGTTCAGTCAGGTTTTGAGGTGACTTCCTCTTTGACATCGTTAAATGGGCAACGAGATCGGATCGAAAGCAGCAAAGTGAGCTCGTGAACCAGATGATAAATAACGTGACCGAACCACTTCACATATCTTTCTTGGATGGCCTGAGATATCTTCGCGATGTTTTCATAACGGATGTAGACCGTCTCATTTGAGATGAAGTCGGCGAACTTCACCGGAAGAATGGTACTCAAACAGCGGTGGTCAAATAACTTCCGTTTCGCTTACCTTCCACGCGCACAGACTAACACTTACAGCCACAGATAAGGAGTGATGGCACGGATACACGGTACACGCAAAGTCGCATCAGGTCCAGAGACACTTTCTAGGGCTTTGGAAAAGCCGACAA